TGGGTGGGTTGTGGGTGAGTGGTGGGTGGTGGGTGAGTGGTGGGTGGTGGGTGAGTGGTGAGTGGTGGGTGGGTGGTGGGTGAGTGGTGAGTGTTGGATAGTGGGTAAGTGGTGAGTGGTGGGTGGTGGGTGGTGGGTGAGTGGTGGGTGGTGGGTGAGTAGTGAGTGGTGGGTGGTGGGTGAGTGGTGAGTGGTGGGTGAGTGGTGAGTGGTGGGTGAGTGGTGAGTGGTGGGTAGTGGGTGAGTGGTGAGTGGTGGGTGAGTGGTGGGTGGTGGGTGAGTGGTGAGTGGTGGGTGGTGGGTGGGTGGTGGGTGGTGGGTGAGTGGTGAGTGGTGGGTGGTGGGTGAGTGGTGAGTGGTGGGTGGTGGGTGAGTGGTGAGTGGTGGGTGAGTGGTGAGTGGTGGGTGGGTGGTGGGTGAGTGGTGAGTGGTGGGTGGTGGGTGAGTGGTGAGTGCTGGGTGGTGGGTGAGTGGTGGGTGAGTGGTGGGTGGGTGGTGGGTGAGTGGTGAGTGATGAGTGGTGGGTGGTGGGTGAGTGGTGAGTGGTGGGTGGTGGGTGGGTGGTAGGTGGTGGGTGAGTGGTGGGTGGTGGTATGTGAGTGGTGAGTGGTGGGTGAGTGGTGAGTGGTGGGTGGGTGGTGGGTGAGTGGTGAGTGGTGGGTGGTGGGTGAGTGGTGAGTGGTGGGTGGTGGGTGGGTTGTGGGTGAGTGGTGAGTGGTGGGTGGTGGGTGAGTGGTGAGTGGTGGGTGGAGGATGAGTGGTGAGTGGTGGGTGGTGGGTGGGTGGTGGGTGAGTGGTGAGTGGTGAGTGGTGGGTGGTGGGTGGGTGGTGGGTGAGTGGTGAGTGGTGGGTGGTGGGTGAGTGGTGAGAGGTGGGTGGTGGGTGGTGGGTGAGTGGCGAGTGGTGGGTGGTTGGTGAGTGGTGAGTGGTGGGTGGTGGGTGAGTGGTGAGTGGTGGGTGGGTGGTGGGTGAGTGGTGGGTGGTAGGTGAGTGGTGGGTGGTGGGTGAGTTGTGAGTGGTGGGTGAGTGGTGAGTGGTGGGTGGTGGGTGAGTGGTGAGTGGTGGGTGAGTGGTGAGTGGTGGGTGGTGGGTGAGTGGTGAGTGGTGGGTGGGTGGTGGGTGAGTGGTGAGTGGGTGGTGGGTGAGTGGTGAGTGGTGGGTGGGTGGTGGGTAGTGGGTGAGTGCTGAGTGGTGGGTGAGTGGTGAGTGGTGGGTGGTGGGTGAGTGGTGAGTGGTGGGTGGTGGGTGAGTGGTGAGTGGTGGGTGGCAGGTGGGTGGTGGATGAGTGCTGAGTGGTGGGTGAGTGGTGAGTGGTGGGTGAGTGGTGAGTGGTGGGTGGGTGGTGAGTGGTGAGTGGTGGGTGAGTGGTGAGTGGTGGGTGGGTGGTGAGTGGTGAGTGGTGGGTGAGTGGTGAGTGGTGGGTGGTTGGTGGGTGGTGGGTGAATGGTGGGTGGTGGGTGAGTGGTGGGTTGTGGGTGAGTGTTGGGTGAGTGGTGAGTGGTGGGTGGGTGGTGAGTGGTGAGTGGTGGGTGAGTGGTGAGTGGTGGGTGGTTGGTGGGTGGTGGGTGAATGGTGGGTGAGTGGTGGGTTGTGGGTGAGTGTTGGGTGAGTGGTGAGTGGTGGGTGGGTGGTGAGTGGTGAGTGGTAGGTGAGTGGTGAGTGGTGGGTGGGTGGTGGGTGAATGGTGGGTGGTGGGTGAGTGGTGGGTTGTGGGTGAGTGTTAGGTGAGTGGTGGGTGAGTGGTGAGTGGTGGGTGAGTGGTGAGTGGTGGGTGGTTGGTGGGTGGTGGGTGAATGGTGGGTGGTGGGTGAGTGGTGGGTTGTGGGTGAGTGTTGGGTGAGTGGTGAGTGGTGGGTGGGTGGTGAGTGGTGAGTGGTGGGTGGGTGGTGGGTGAGTGGTGAGTGGTGGGTGGTTGGTGGGTGGTGGGTGAATGGTGGGTGGTGGGTGAGTGGTGGGTTGTGGGTGAGTGTTGGGTGAGTGGTGAGTGGTGGGTGGGTGGTGAGTGGTGGGTGGGTGGTGAGTGGTGGGTGGTGGGGTTATTCGCCTGAAGGCCGTTGGAAGTACGCACACAGAGTACACACACAGTACACACACACACTACACACACACACAGTACACACACAGTACACACACACAGTATACACACACACAGTACACACAGTACACACACACAGTATACACACACAGTACACACAGTACACACACAGTACACACACACACAGTACACACACACAGTACACACACACACAGTACACACACACAGTACACACAGTACACACACACAGTATACACACACAGTACACACAGTACACACACAGTACACACACACACACAGTACACACACACAGTACACACACACACACAGTACACACACACACAGTACACACAGTACACACACACAGTATACACACACAGTACACACAGTACACACACAGTACACACACACAGTACACACACACAGTACACACACACACAGTACACACACACACACAGTACACACAGTACACACACAGAGTACACACACAGAGTACACAAACAGTACACATACAGTACACACACACAGTACACACTCAGTACACACACAGTACACACACAGTACACACACACAGTACACACACAGAGTACACACACAGTACACACAGTACACACACACAGTACACACAGTACACACACAGTACACACACAGTACACACAGTACCCACACACAGTACACACACAGTACACACACACACTACACAGACACAGTACAAACACAGTACACACACAGTACATACACACAGTACACACACAGTACACACACCGTACACACACACACAGTACACACACAGTACACACACACATTACACTCACAGTACACACACAGTACACACACAGCACACAGACAGTACACGCACAGTACACACACACAGTACACACACAGCACACACAGTACACACACAGTACACACACAGTACACACAGTACACACACATACACAGTACACACAGTACACACACAGTACACACACACAGTACACACACAGTGTGTACTGTGTGTGTATACACACAGTACACACACACAGTACACACAGTACACACACACAGTACACACACACAGTACACATACAGTACACACACAAAGTACACACTCAGCACACACACAGTACACACACAGTACACACACACAGTACACACACAGAGTACACACACAGTACACACAGTACACACACAGTACACACAGTACACACACACAGTACACACACACAGTACACACACAGTACACACACAGTACACACACACACTACACAGACACAGTACACACACAGTACACACACAGTACATACACACAGTACACACACAGTACACACACCGTACACACACACACAGTACACACACAGTACACACAGTACACACACACAGTACACTCACAGTACACACACAGTACACACACACAGTACACACACACAGTACACACACAGCACACGGACAGTACACGCACAGTACACACACACAGTACACACACAACACACACAGTACACACACACAGTATACACACAGTACACACAGTACACACACATACACAGTACACACACAGTACACACACAGTACACACACACACAGTACACACACAGTACACACACACAGTACACACACACAGTACACACAGTACACACACACAGTACACACACAATACACACACAGTACACACACAGCACACACAGTACACACACAGTACACACAGTACACACACATACACAGTACACACACAGTACACACACAGTACACACACACAGTACACACACACAGTACACACAGTACACACACACAGTACACACACAGTACACATACAGTACACACACAGTACACACACAGTACACACAGTTCACACACACAGCACACACACAGTACACACACATCACACAGAGTACACACACAGTACACACACGCACATAGTACACACACGCGCACACACACACAGTACACAAACAGTACACACACACACACAGTGCACACACACACACAGTACACACACGCACACACGCACACAGTACACACACGCACAGACACACACGCACGCACATGCACGCACACACGCACACACACACATGCTGCTGCCGATGTTGATTGGGTGGAAATATCTCACACTTCTGGTGATGGTGATGATGGTGAAACGAGATAGTGATGATGATGGTGGTGGTGATGCTGCTGATGATAATGGTGATGTCGATCCGGTGGACAGCTTGGTGGTTGTGATGATGGTGGTGAGACCGGATGGTGATGACGATGATAATGTGATAATGATGACGATGATGACGATGGTGGCGATGATGATGATGATGGTGATCATGATGACGACAATAATGATGGTGGTGATCATGATGATGACAATGATGATGACATTGATGACGACGATGGTGACATTGACGATGGTGACAATAATGATGATGATGAAGGTGACAGTGATGACAATGATGACGATGGTGGCAATGAGGATGATGGTGATCATGATGATGACAATGATGATGACATTGATGACGACGATGATGATGACGATGGTGACAATGATGATGATGGTGACAGTGATGACAATGATGACGATCGTGATGATGGTGATGATGATGGTGTTCATGATGATGACAATGATGATGACATTGATGACGACAATGATGACGACGATGATGATGATGAAGATGGTGACAATGATGACGACGATGGTGACATTGACGATGGTGACAATGATGATGATGATGATGGCGACAGTGATGACAATGATGACGATAATGATGATGATGATGGTGACAATGATGATGATGATGAAGGTGACAGTGATGACAATGATGACGATGGTGGCAATGATGATGATGATGATAATGATCATGATGATGACAATGATGACGACGACGATGATGACAGTGACGATGGTGACAATGATGATGATGAAGGTGACAGTGATGGCAATGATGACGATCGTGATGATGGTGACGATGATGACGATGACGAGAACTTGGTGGAACTTTCTCACCTTGACCGGCAGGGGTCCGCTGGAGGAGCCGTGGTAGTGCGGCGGGATCCCTGTGGGGTCCCTGTGGGATCCCTGTGGGGTCTCTGTGGGGTCTCTGGGGTCTCTGTGGTCTCTGGGGTCTCTGTGGGTCTCTGGGGTCTCTGTGGGTCTCTGTGGGTCTCTGGGGTCTCTGGGGTCTCTCTGGGTCTCTGTGGGGTCTCTGTGGGTCTCTGTGAGTCTTTGGGGTCTCTGTGGGGTCTCTGTGGGGTCTCTCTGGGTCCCTGTGGGTCTCTGTGAGTCTCTGTGGGTCTCTGTGGGGTCTCTGTGGGTCTCTGTGGGGTCTCTATGGGTCTTTGTGGGGTCTCTGTGGGGTCTCTGTGGGTCTCTGTGGGTCTCTGTGGAGTCTCTGTGGGTCTCTGTGGGGTCTTTGTGGGGTCTCTGTGGGTCTCTGTGGGGTCTCTGTGGGGTCTCTGTGGGGTCTCTGTGGGTCCCTGTGGGGTCTCTGTGGATCTCTGCGGGGTCCCTGTGGGGTCTCTGTGGGGTCTCTGTGGGGTCTCTGTGGGGTCTCTGTGGGGTCTCTGTGGGTCTCTGTGGGTCTCTCTGGGTCTCTGTGGGGTCTCTGTGGGTCTCTGTGGGGTCTCTGTGGGTCTCTGTGGCGTCTCTGTGGGTCTCTGTGGCGTCTCTGTGGGTCTCTGTGGGGTCTCTGTGGGGTCTCTGCGGGGTCCCTGTGGAGTCCCTCCTGGGCAGCGCCTGGGTTCCTACTCTGGACTTGCGGAGTGAGGGAGCATCTAGCAGTGTCCAGCAGTTGTGAGTGTGTGAGTGAGTGTGAGTGAGAATGTGTGAGTGTATGATTGTGTGAGAGTGTGTGAGTGAGTGTGTGAGTGAGTGTGTGAGAGTGTGAGTGAGAATGTGTGAATGTGTGAGTGTGTGAGAGTGTGTGTGTGAGTGTGTGAGTGTAGCTGTAAATCTTGAGACGGATTACGTGCGGAGCGGGATTATAACGCTGGGTTAACCCCACCTCTCCACCCCCCCCCCCACTTACCCACCCACCAAACGCCTCACCCGCCCACTAATCGCCCAGCCACCCTACACACCAAACAGCTCACCCATCCACGACTCAACCACCCACCTGACCCACAAAACCTCTCACCCACCCAATCACCCCCTTACAAAATTGAACATCGAGAGTGAACACTGCCTACTTTAAATGGCAACAACAACAACAACCGCCATTCGCCACTAAGTGGCAGTGACGTCACCACGACGCTTGTGCCAGGACATGTGCACCTTGAGGCCACGTGAAGTGTCGAACGCCCGCTGGCAGGAGGTCACGGGGCAGACCCAGCAGGTGTCACGTGTCGACTGACTGAGATGACTGAGATGGCTGGCTCATGCACCACCTGTGCCCCCTACTGTGCCAACTTGCTGTGATTTAGCCGTCCGGCGCTCCGCACGTTGTTGTGAGCGTCGCTCCTCCGCCCTCCGTTGTTGTTGGAGGGCGACTGCCTCCAACTGCCCAGTAGCGTCCTTCACGAGCCTCCTCCACAGAGGCCGATCTTGACACCGCTGGTAATAGTCATCGGCAAGTCCACTCAGCTCCACGTCCTCCTGTACCAGATCACTCCATCTCTTCTCTAGCCCATGCCGCGCCCGTTTGGCCCCCTCGATCCGGCCGAACAAAAGCTGTTTCGGCATGCGGTGGCTGGGCATGTGGGTTATATGACCCAGACAACGCAGCCTTGCCTGCCGGAGGAGCTCACCGATGGGACTTTGCCCAGATCTTTCGAGGATTTGTGAGCTCCTCACACAATCCAGCCTGGTTAAACCCAGGATGGATCGTAGGTACGCCAGCCTAAATGTTTCCAACTGGCGAAGATGCTCCATTAAGGGGGTCCACGTTTCGCAAGCGTAGAGAAGGGAGGGAATGACCATGGCCGAGAAGACCTGAAGCTTAGTGCGGAGCGACAGACCAGGTAGCTTCCACACAATGTTACGCAACCGATGAAAAGATATTGCCGCTCGACTGATTCGGAGTGAGACATTTGCTGTTAAACTGGAGCCGGTCATAAGCACACTGCCCAGGTATGGGAAACTCTCCACTCTCTCCACAACTGCCCCATCACCGATTGGGAGTTGTGGGAGTGGAGTGTCCGATGGTACAAAATACCCAGGCAGGTGCTTAGTTTTGGTGGGGTTGATGGTAAGGCCCCATCTCTTAGTGGTACGCTCCAGTCTCAGCAGCAGCGTCTCCAACTCCTCCTCTGAATGAGCAGCTATTACCAAATCATCGGCATACATAACGTGGTTGAGCAATAGGGAGCCATCCCTTGACCGTACCGGGGCATCGATCAGCCTCCCATTGTATCTGTACCAGATGGAAATTCCTCCGGTACAGCATTAAAGGCTTGACGAACTACGTGGTCGAGAAATATGTTAAATAATGTGGGAGCCAGAGGACATCCCTGTCGCACCCCAAGGTGAACAGGGAATGGCTCCGACTCCCAGCCATTTAGTTTTACCTGGGACCGCTCACCATCATGAAGGTCCTTAATGATCGTGAGCAGAGGGTCAGGGACTCCGAAGCACGAAGAATAACCCAGAGCCCAGGCCTACTGATGGAATCATTATTCAACATCGCAAAGCGATGTTGAATCATCCTTGCCAGGACCTTTACCGGCACACTGAGAAGTGAGATACCCCTGTAGTTGTTACAGTCTGTGCGGTCCCCCTTCTTAAAGAAGGGGACCACCAGGGCATCCTTTCAATCCTGTGGAACCCGTCCAGTGGTCCAGAATGTTGTTATGATGTCATGTAGGGCAGTCTGGGCATAAACGCCACCCTCCCTCAGCATTTCACTTGGGAGATCATCTCTGCCTGGTGCCTTTGCTGGTCTCAGACTCTGGATCGCCTTTAGTACTTCCTCAACAGATGGCACCTCAGCCAGCCACTCACAGGGGGTGACTTCTTCTTCCAATAATTGAGACACCACAGCCTCAGCAGGGTCATCCCCACTTTGTCCCACAACGTTTTCCATGCTGAGAGATGTCCCCTCCCCCAGGAAATCACAAAAATGCTCAGCAAATCTGCAAACCTGTTCTTCGGGGTCGGAGATTGGATTACTGTTTTTCCCCTAATGATGGTAATAGGTGTGGCGCTGCAGGTTACTTGTTTGATGGAGTTAAATAGAGATTTCTGATCGCGGCCCATTGAGGCAGACTTCATCTCCTTAGCAACCCGCGACCACCACCCATCCTTGCAGCGCCTCACGGCTCTCCGAACCTCCAAGCGAAGGCTGTGGTAAGCCTCCTCATTCTCCGACATGGGATGCTGTAGCCAATGAGAGTGGGCCTGTTGCTTTTTCTCAGCCAGCTTGAACACCTCCTCTGTCAGCCAGGGTCTCTGGGGAGGTCTGGACCGTGTACCCAAAGCAGCCATTGCAGCTGCATGAGCCACAGTCCTAAACCTCGCCCATTCCCCCTCGACATCAGGAGAGGGGGACGATGCCAACCCCAGCCGCAAGCGATGATTCAATTCTCGCTTGCAACTTTCATCAGCTAGCTGAGACCAGGCCACCTTGAGTTTGAATGGGGTCCTGGGTGTACACCCACTACCGGAGTGGAAGAATTGCAGGCGCATCTTACAGATGACAAGTCGATGGTTAGTGGGAAGATCGGCTCCACGGTAGGTCCTGGTGTCAAGGACATGGACCCTCATCCGCTGTTCCGTCACTATGTAGTCCAGCAGATGTTCTTGCTTGGAGCCGGCATGCATCCATGATGTTGTGTGGATGCGCCGATGCCGGAACAGCATGTTGGTAATTACAAGCCCATGGGCTGCACACAAATCTAGCAGCCTCCTACTGTTGTTATTAAGCTGATCCGGCCCATGCCCTCCAATCACTCCAGACCAGGTGCCAGCATCATGACCAACTCGGGCATTGAAGTCACCCAACATGATGACTCTATCCCGAGGGGCCACTTTAGCCAGCACCTGTGACAGGAGGTCATAGAAGGCATCTGACTCATCGGCTTTGCTTGCATCCCTCCACGGATGTTCGTCTTCGGTGGGGGCATAAGTAACCACGACCACCATTCCTCGCCTCTGGTTGATGGGAAGGCGAGCCCAAAGTAGCCTGGGGCTTACAGATTCCCACACCTCACCGCCACGCTCCCACGCCCCCTTCATTATTTTATTCAGAAGGGCCACACCCTGTTGTTTGGCAGTCTCCTGCCCCAAGTAGAAGACTGTCCACCCCTCATGGTGGCAAGAGCTAGAGCGGGTCCACCGGACCTACTGAATACTGCAGAGATTCAGGCTGCAGACTCTTCTCTGCAGTGAGCATTCGAACATTCCACGTGTCCATCCGAAGTGGCTTTTTGTTGTTTCTGGAGGACGCCCGAGGGTAAGGATTCAGTCTCCTGGCTCCGCCAAATGGGGTTTGGCCAGGAGACGTCATAGACGCCTGTCCCCCCAGGGCCTCCGGCAGAAGCTTACTTATTACATTTTGTGGTCGTGGTTTAGTGTTAATTAATTGAAGGTGGAGGGGTGACCAGCCCCTCTCACCCATCCAGAGCCCCCGTTTAGCCACTGTGTTGGTCATAGACGCCATGAGGGACAGTGCTGTGGGGAGAGGGCCAATTCCAATTGGCCCTCTCTCCACAGCACTGTCCACGACAGAGTTGCCCGTCCGGCACTACGAGGAGGTAGGGGGTTGTTTTGCCGCACACACAGACATACACACATACACATACACACCGACATACATACACACACATACACACACACACATACACACAGACACATCCACACACACATACACACACAGACATACAACAACAACCGCCATTCGCCATTAAGTGGCGGTGACGTCACCACGACGCTTGTGCCAGGCCATGTGCACCTTGAGGCCACGTGAAGTGTCGAACGCCCGCTGGCAGGAGGTCACGGGGAAGACCCAGGTGCCACGCGTCGACTGATTGAGGTGACTGGCTGGTGCACCACCTGTGCCCCCTACTGTGCCAACCTGCTGTGTTTTAGCCACCCGGCGCTCCGCTCATTGTTGTGAGCGTCACTCCTCCGCCCTCCGTTGTTGTTGGAGGGCGACTGCCTCCAACTGCCCAGTAGCGTCCT